GTTAGATGGAAGGCCCAGGACGCTAAATGACTTGTCAAGGCCACAGAAGTGGTAAGCGGCAGAGTGAATTTAATAACCCAGATCAGAAAACAAAGGCAAGATTAAGTAAGTGCCTGATTCAATGTGCATGCGTGCGTGTGTGCACTCAGATACACATGTGTTGCATGCTGTGTTTATTAACAAGGAAAAATAGCTTACCCCAGGACAACAGCCTCCCCACCAAGAGGACCAGCAAGTTAAGCAGCAACCCCAGGAAGTAGAGACAGAAATAGCCAGATGTTCCTGAGGCAGAATGACCTGGGGCTAAGCAGTTGGCCAGCTGGCACTGGTACCAGCTCTGTCACTGACCAAGCCAAGGTCACAAGTAAAGTTATCTATCACACATGATAGGATCTTAATACATGCTTGTTGAGTGAATGCATGAGTTCAAGTTAGGTGATGGTCCATTTATCAGCCTACATCTCAGTCTTCCCTCACAATTTCTGTCCCTTTAGTTATTTCCCAGATAGAGTCTCAAATTTTTTGCCCAGGGCAAAAATGCCTCAGACCCTAATCTTCCTACCTATGCCTGCCCTTTAGCTGGGACGACAAGTACACGCAACCACATCTGATTTATTTGTTGAGAGGAGGGGCTCACCTGTGCATAATCTGTTCTCTGAAATTCTTTTCCTCCAAAATTGTTTACTGGTTAATCTCTACTCTTCAGGTTAGAACCCCCTAGCCTTCTCCCTTGATGACACACTGTCTTCACAGTTCTTCCCACCACTCCGGTCTACTGATGGTGCAGACTACTGCCTAAGGCTGTTTCTCCCACTAAACCCCTGTTCTTCCACATGTTCCCAGTGCTGGCCACATGTCCAGGCCAGGGCAAGTGCCCACTACAAACATTACAGGAACACAACCACCACTATGGTGCCTCTTGGCCTCAACACAATGATGAAATAATGTGAACATTTGGGTATTATACTACAGATTCAGTGACAAGATCAATTATAACCATTGGTTGGGATCCAAAGATGTCACCGTGCATTCATTATGGAAAGAGAGACTTACCGTGAACGTATTTTCAGTGATTTTTGAGTGGTGCCAAGTGTTTGGGTGATGTGAATGGAGTGCTTCTTCTGCACCAGCTGAACATCCCTAATTCAAAAATATAAAACCCAAAATGCTCCAAACTCTGAAACCTTTTGAGCATTAATGATGCCATAAGTGGAAAATTCCACTCCTGACTTCATGTGATGGATCACGGTCAAAATCCAGATACAGCCAGGTGCAGTGACTCATGCCTATAATCCCAGCTACTCAAGATCAAAAGGATCTTGGTTGGAGGGCAGCCCAGCCAAAAAAAGTTAGTGAGACCCTCCTCTCCACAAATAAGTCAGATGTGGTTGCGTGTACCTGTCGTCCCAGTTAAAAGGCAGGCATAGATAGGAGGATCAGGGTCTGAGGGACTTTGACCCTGAAACTCTATCTGGAAAATAACTAAAGCAAAAAGGCCTGAGATGTGGCCCAAGTGATACAGCACCTGTCCAGCAAGTGCAGGGTCCTAAGTTCAAACTCTAGTGCTACAAAAAAGAAAAGAAAAGGGAAGGAGGGAAGGAAGAAAGAAAGGAAGGAAGGAAGGAAGGAAGGAAGGAAGGAAGGAGGGAGGGAGGGAGGGAAAGAGGGAAGGAAGGAAGGAAGGAAGGAAGGAAGGAAGGAAGGAAGGAAGGAAGGAGGGAGGGAAGGAAGGAGGGAGGGAGGGAGGGAAGGAGGGAAGAAAGGAAGACAAAAACAATGCAGGTACACTAAAAACACAAAATCACCTTCAGACTATGCATATAAAGGGTACATGAAACATAAATGAATTTCACGTGTAGAACTGGATCTCATCCCTAAGACATCTCATATATGTGCAAATATTCCAAAATCCAGTGTTTTCCACAATCTGGAACATTTCTGCTTCCAAGCATATACAATATTCTGCATTATACGTTACGTATGCATAGTCTGGGGAGTGGTGCCGGGGCACTTGGAAAGCAAGAGCGCCACCACTTGGGGCACGCCCACTCCCAGCCATTTTGCAATTACTTGGTTTTTCAGGTTGGGTCTCACACTAACTTCAGCTGGCTCAGTCTCCAACTGTGATCCTCCTGCCTCTGCCTCCCGAGAAGCTGGAATTACAGGTGAGCACCACTACACTGGCTTTCCCAAGCATTTTTAAATAAGAGCTACTCAACTTGTATGTCAGTAGTATTCTTCTGAAACAGTGAGACTGAGCAACTGTCTGGTTTGGTTGGTAACATTAGTTTGGAAGGTAATTTCTTCAAAGGTAAACTTTTTCCCCCAAGTGAAACCTGTAAGAATAAGTATGGATTTAGCGTACAATCAGAAGTCATTCAGTGAGACTCCTAATTCACTCCCTTGGGGACAGAAAAGCTACTGACCTAGTTTCTCCACTGCCCTTGAAAGAAGCTGAAATTCCACTTCCTTTAATTAATTCACACTCCTCTTTGCCTAGGACAGGCTTCAGGGGGACCTGATTAAATAAATAATTGACAAGCCAATTTTTCCTGTTTCAAGGGGTGGGGGGGCACAATGACTCTTGATAATTTGAGAGTTGTGGGCATCAAAATCCGTGGTTTGTGGTTGTAGCTCAGTGGTGGAGCGCTTGCCCAGCAGGCATGAGGCCCTGGGTTTGATTCTCCATACTGTAAAAACAAAACAAAACAAAAAACTCACAAAAGACAATTATAAAACAAGACAGAATTTTCAGCACTAATTTACCCACCAATTCACTGTGATCTGTCCCATATGTGTAACACAGGACAAACTCACAAATCTGAAATTCCTGAGGTTTAAAAAACACATTGACCCCCCCCCAGTACAACAATAATATAATAAAAGCAAAATTTAAAAAGCCCTCTGTGTCTGGACTCCCTCCCTGTCCCCCCCAAAAAAGCATGCTTTGATGATCCTGACAATGAGTTTAGAGAAAGACACACTACAGTGTGACCAATACCACTTTTAGGCTAGTTGGGATTCCTAAAGCTTTTTTTTTTTTTTGGAAGCACTGGGACTTGAACTCAGGGCCTCATGCTTGATAGGCGGGTGCTCTACTGCTTGCGCCACTCCACCAGCCCTTTTTCTTTTCTTTTTTTTTTTTTTTTTTTTTGTGGTGCTGGGGCTTGAACGCAGGGCCTACACCTTGAGCCACTCCACCAGCCCTTTTTAGTTATAGGATTTTTCAAGATAGGGTCTTGAGAACTATGTACCCTGGCTGGCTTTCAACCATGATCCTCTTGATCTCTGCCTCCTGAGTAGCTAGGATTACAGGCATGAGCCACTGCGCCCAGCTCTTAAAGCTCTTTCTTTTCCCGTGCCAACGCGAAGACAATTCAAAGAAATGATCAGCATCCCAGAACGTAAGCCCGTGGTCAATAATGAACAGTAAGCGAATCTCACAGCGAGACTTCTGGGTTTCCACCATTCATTCCTGCTAGTACAGTCAGTAGAAAGAACCAGGAAAACAAAAGGGCGTTCAAGTCCCTTGTACTTTTTAAAGCACATGGTATTTATTAGGCATTAATTGGCACACAAAGATAAGGAACGAATATTTAATTCTCAGCCTCCCCCCTTAGCAACATAAAAAGACAAAAATCGAATAAAGACATACATCCACACACACTCACACTTGCACGTTCTTGAACCTACTCAGCCTCACACACTACCCTGTTCTCTTTATTAGGGTCAGTTAAAAAAAAACAAATAACCTTTTTAAATCAAGAAAGCAAAGCACATTCAAAAAGCAAAGAAAAACACAAACTTGGTTTTGAGTATCAATAAAATTAAAATCTCTTGGTCAGTTCCCATGATGAGTATTATCTTATTACTTAATTAGAATTCCTATTTATAAATAAATAGTACCAGTAAAATATTACATCTGAGGAGCCCTACAATAATGTATTATTTGCACACTTTTTTTTTTTAAATACTGTTTTCTGCAGTTAATACAGGCGGATTTAGGTTGGCATTTGGTGCTGGCCTGATATCTTTGAAGAGGAATCAGCTGAGAGCATGTCTTTAAAGAACTGGAGATTTTTTTTCTTTGCATCCCATGTGGGTCATCGGTGATGAGGTTTGGAAGCTCAGGCTGGCTTTGGTTTTTATCGCAAAGAATATTTATTTTGGCTTTTTTTCATCACTTGTCAGCACAGAGCTTGCACAGTGTTTATCACAGTTCAGCCTGTGTGTAAACCAGGGCTTTTTAAGTTTTTCAAAGCAAGATTTCCGGACGGGAAGCTATAGGCCACGTTTTAGCGACAGACGGCTGGAGATCCCAGAGTTTGGGAGGCCGGTGGGGCTGAAGGAGATAGCATTTGAGATGGAGCCCGATGTTATCCTAACATTATCCTAACTCCATCCGTAAATAGAAGGCAAAACGGAGCTCTGTGATGCTGGGGGAGGCAGAACAAAATTGAAAAAAAAAACAAAACAGTTGGGACCCAGTGAGCCTTTGAAGAAATGTCACATGCTGAAGGTAGGTACTTCTCTTAGAGCACAGTGGTAGTTGTAAATTTGGGGGCTGGTGTGTACAAGGGCATCCCACAAGTACATATATTGAGATATACTTGTCTCTGATCTCCCTCCAAAAAAGGACTGGGTCCCATTCAGAAAATTAGAAGAAAAAAATATATTATTATTTATTATATAACAAAGTCAACATTAACACCAAGACAGGGAAGAATTCCCCCAATATGAATCAGGAGGAAAACACCCAAGGAGGCTAGATGTTCTGGAATCCACAATAAGAAATCAGGGAAGATACTGTTGCGGGGTGGGAGGGGAGCGGGGGAGGATGCGATTTTGGCTTTATGGCTGGTTGGTGATTTCAGGGAGTTGTGCAAAGATGGGATTCATCTTATTTTTTTGTTTTGTTTTATAAGTTTGGAGACAAAATGACAGTTGTGTTTTTGTGTGAACGGCAGTTGCAAGCTACTGATGAGTTCAGTTTTGGTTAGCCTCGGGTGTAGACGTGCACATGGGGGAGTGAAAGTCATGTCTGTGGTGTTCTTTCTGCTACTGTCCTTCTCCCTCTCTCCCTTTTCTCTCTCTAGCAAATGTCTGTAGTGAGGCAGACCAGCTTTTAGCTATTGTCACTCCACTCTGGTGCCATGCCAACTCCATGCACAGAGTGGTACTGGTGTGGTGACAGGGTCCTGGTCACACCATGAGAGTAGAGAAACTCAGGGGGCTGAAGGCTGCCGGGGGACTGGAGGCCAGTCTGAGGCCCACACGGCCTGACCACGGGCTGGTGGGCCACGGAGGCCTGGGGCTGGAACATCCCCTCTCCGAGCTGTGGGGAACCGTGGTTGGCCATACCAGCCAGCCGGGGGACCAGAGGCCCCGAGGTGAAGTGAGCAGAGAAGTGCTGGTAGGGTAGCCTGTCCATGGGCTGCACCGTGGTGACCGTGCAACTGCTGTAGGACGGCATGCTGGCCCACGTGTTACAGCTGATGTCCTCCAGGTTGGCCACAGGCTCACTGGGTGGCGCGGAGCTGGCATACATGCAGGCCTGCCGCTGGGCCGACTCTGTCCTGTAGGAGGCACCCAGACCCTGCTGCTGGGAGTAAGCAGAGCGGTAGAAGGGGTCCTCCTCGCTGGGCGATGTCTCCATGTAGGGCTTCTTATAAGGATGGTCTGTGTTGGAACATTCTTCATCTGTTAAGACAGAACAGAGACTCATGAGACCTGAGCAGTCACCCTATAGCCAAGGACAGAGGCAGCCACTTGGGCTAAAGGATGCAGACAGACAAAAACACACGCCCTTGGACTGTGGAGTTCTGAGCAAACACCTTATCTTGAACTCAGTTTGCTCATCTGTAAAATGTTAAAGGGATTAATAGCACCTCCTACAAAGAACAGTACTGAGAATTCAGTGGGGAAAGATGTATTAAGTACCTAGTCCAGAACCTGGCACAAGGAAATGTGCAATAAATAGCATTATTAATTGTCCCTCCTCCAAGCATAAGTACATTCCATGAAGGCAGGACAAAGTCTGTCTTATCCATCACTGTATTGCCAAAACCCGATACACACCCAGGAATAAAAATAGTATCAACATAATGATAAAAAAAAGAAAGCACATAAAATGGTAACTTCGCCTGGCACCCACTGAATCCTCCTGACAACCCTGTAGGGAGGTTCTACTTTCATTGCCATTATATGGATGAGACAAAGGAACACAGGGGTAAGGAATCTCGCCCAAGTTCTCATATGGCCAATAAATGGTGGAGCCAGGACTAGATCCAAATAGTCTCACAGCAAGTCCCTGTTTGTCAATAGCATGCTGCATGGAGAAGATGAATAATAAATATTTGGGCAATGCATGAATGGAAGGAAAGATAGATGGAAGGATGGGAGGAAGGATGGAGGATGATTGGAGGATATATGGAAGGATGGATGGATGGATGGATGGATAGAAGGAAGGATGGGTGGGAAGAAGGAGGGAGGATGGATGGGAAGATGGATGGATGAATGGAAGGAAGGATAGATGAAAGGAAGGATGGGTGGGAGAATGGATGGAAGGATGGGTGGAGATGGATGGATGAATGGATGAATGGATAATGGATGATAAAGGAAGGATGGATGGATGGAAAATGGAAGGAAGGAAGGAAGGAAGGGAAGGAAAGAGAGGGAGGAAAGGAGGGAAGGAGGGAGAGAAGGGGAGGAGAGAGGAGGAAAGGGGTAGATGGATGGGAGCTTGAATGAATCCCCAGTCTTGATGCCTGGTGTGAGCTGGTACCCAGTTCACATTTGCTGAGTCAGGACAGATTACTGTGTTGCTGTTTTTTGTGGGGCAAGTCACTTTCCTCCTCTATGCACTAGAGGAGTACTCTGTGGAGATAGTTTGATCTTTGACAGGGGAATCTCCCTTAATTACTTTGGCGCCATTGGCTACTTTTTGGTCCATTTTGGCCCACAAAAGTGCTCGCTATCTCCTTTTGAAAATTGCATATACATTCGATTTTTCACACAATTTCAGGGGGTTCAAGGACTCCCTAAGACCCAGATCCCAAGTTAAGAAGCCTGGATGTGTCTAGGCCTGCAGCTGGCTCTTCTGTTTGCTATCTGTGTGATGGGAGCAGGGATCCACCCTCATACAATCCTTTCATCACTTTTGATGGGGGTTAGTAATACCTCACTGGGTGATTAGTAATTCCTCCACTGGGAATTAAGTAAAATGGAGAAGGTGAATCTCTTGACCCCACCACCGAAAGGAGTGGACACACAGCCTACTAGTGTCATGGTGGACCTGATTGATAATAATTCTCTCTTTCAGGAGATACCATGCTTGGGAACACTGCCAAGATGTCTCCCTTGACTGATACACATTCACTCCTTAGCTGGAATTTGACCCTCTAAACTAGAGATTATGTTCCTCATCTTCTGATATCTTTCCAATAAATGAGTGGTAAGAAATTAGACCAAACACCCGTGATGCAGGTCTGTAATCCTAGCCACTCCAGAGGCAGAGATCAGGAGAATTGATGCCAACTGGGGCAAAAAAAGAAAAAAAAAGTGAGACCCTATCTCAAAAACACCCAACACAAAAAGGGACTGGTGGAGTGGCTCAAATGGTAAAGGAGCTTGCCTAGCAAGCTTGAGGCCCCAAGTTCAAATCCCAGTACCACAAGAAAAAAAAGAAATTATGTCTGGGCTGTGATTGTAGCTCTGAGGTAGCACACTTGCTTAGCATGAGGCACTACAAAAAAGGAATGGAAGGAAGGAAGGAAGGAAGGAAAGAAAGAAATTATGACTGTCTTTGAGGAGTCCAAAGGAAAACGAACATGTGCATCCAAGCAACTGACTATGATGGTTAGTCGTCCTGAGGGTGTGACACTGGACTACATGGTGGAAGGAAATAATACCATCTATTATTTATTGTACATCTACGAAGTGGCCCCACTCTGATCTCATAGTAATTCCTCAAGGCGCCCTCTCTTGTTCTCATTTCTGAGAGGCAGAAACTGAAGCTGAGAGAAGTGACTCAGTTGAGGTCACACAGCAGAGAGGGAACAGAGGTCAGAACCAAAGCCACCTCAGATGTCCTTTGCCTGCTTCATCTTGCTTCAACTATCCAGTGCTCTAATTTCAATGCCACTCAGTGTGTCATCCTAAAGATGTTAACTGAGCCCCTACCAAGAACCAGGCAGGGTGCTAGACATGGGCAGGTGTGGCCCCATACCACCCTATCTGGAGCTGTTAAGTGAGGCAGGCTGACCATGTGGCTTGGACCTGGTCCTCAGATGTCAACCAACCTTCCAGCCAGTCATTCACACAGCAGGGAATCCCTTGGTTTTGGACTGATTTATAAATCACATCCCCCTGCCCAACCAAGCTGGAGCACCTCAGACTTTGGTGCCACCAAACTCCATCATTTGTAACATTCTCCCAGTGACACCTTGCAGGTAGGTCAGAAGTGTCCCCATAGAGTTTGGGTCATTCCCTGCCGAACAGCAAGCAAGTTTATTTTTAGCTCATCTCCTTCTGGGACACATCTGGGAACCATAGGATACCCAAAAATTAAAACAAAAAAAATTAATGAAAACTGCAGTCACTCTTCCAGGTGTTCTGTGTACATCATGTCAACCATCCAGATGTTTGAAGCCATCCAGATGAGTGAACTGCTATATTTTTCACCTTTCAACTGGGCAGGGTTTTCTGGAATCTTGAAGACATTGCCACACTTGTTTTTATCCATCTCCTCCCTTGATTCCTTCCTTCCCATTCTTCCTTCCACCCACCAGGTCCATATATCTGAATATTTCATTGTTGCTGGACTCATAAGTTTTGGTTTTTTTATTTCACCAGGGCGTTCCCCTTTTTCAATAATGCAAAGTAAAGCTGCAGGGTACCCTTGGCAAGAGAAAAAAAAAAAAGGCAAACAAACCATTCTGGAGTTTCTGATCCCTTTCCAGGGTTGTTATAAGTAAAAACGGAAGAATAATAAGAAAAAGGCCGTAACCCATTTTGGCAAATCGTAAAATTATACATTCCAGTTTTTAATACCCAAAGCTCTGATACAGAGCCCTCACAATGACTCGATGCTAGTTTGCTGGTTTATTGATGAAAGCAGGTCCAGAGTGTTCCTCAAATGCCTCTCAGTCTCTACCACATTGTAAAGAAATTCCAAAGCAAGAATCCAAATTTCAGCAGATTAGTGCTCTGGATATAATCTCTGTGTTGATTTTGGGGATCGTTTGCTTTCTTTCTTTCTATTGACCAACTCATTATTTGATTGCACAGTTGGGGAAGGAGCCACAGTCAAGCATCAAGTCTTCTGCTGAGATAAGTCTATGACTTGATTTCAGAAGGGGTGTATTTAAAGCCACAATTACATTGTGACTTCTGGAAACCCAACTGAGTCTCTGAGACAACAGGAAAGTTCTTCCTGATTCTGACCACTCCCCACAGCACAGCATTGTGAAGAATCCTGGCCCCTTGGATTTTTCTGGATGGTTTTGGATTTTGGATTAAGTGGCTTTAGTGATGAATCCAGAGCACAGATTTTAAGGCACAAAGTCATGGCTGTGATGCTGACTGGCTCCGTGAGCATGGGCGAATCCCTGGACAACTCCAATCTCAGTCCTTGGGGGTATATCATATGGGGATAATCCCCAAGCTTCCCGTGAGATGTCATTGAGGTAATGCCATCTGCTTTGTGTCTTCTTCCTTGCACACAGTGAGTCAATTCACACCTTTTTGAAATCTGTTGGTCCAAACCTTATCTGTCCAAATAACCCAGGTCTACTCTGTTTCCTCTTTTCTCTCTTGGGAGATTCGGCAGATGGCTCTCTGAAGGTCATGCAGTACTTGGTGGTATTTGGGTGGATTCCAGATCTGGAACACTCCCACAGCCACTTGCAACTCACTAATCCCATCAAGTAAATGTGGTCACCATTCCCTAGTGGGTCATTTTCCTGGCTGACTGAGTTGATTCAGATGAAAGACCTTTGTTGAGACTTCATGGACAGAGAGCCTGGAGCCCAGAGTGGTGAGTGGTCACTCCCTAGCTAAGTGACCTTCAGCAAGGCCATCTGACTCATGAAACAGTGCTTTTCCTGACAGATGGCTCCAAGACTTCATGTAACTCAACATGGAAAGATAATAGCCCTTGAACCTTAATGGATGGATGGAAGGAAGGATGGATGGATGGATGGATGGATGGATGGGTGGATGGATGGATGGGTGGGTGGATGGATGGATGGGTGGGTGGACGGATGGGTGGACAGATGGATGGGTGGGTGGATGGGTGGGTGGATGGGTGGGTGGATGGATGGATTGGTGGATGGATGAGAGGATGACGGATGGATGAGTAGATGGATGGTCAGATGGATGAATGGATAGATGGATGGATGGAATAAGGGTAGGTAGATGGAGAGATGGATAGATGAAGTGTGTGTGTGTGTGTGTGTGTGTGTGTGTGTTCCCATGCTCTTAGCACTTAGGTTAACAATGAGAAAGACCACAATGGTATTGTAGGAAAATCCTCGGCTAGAAATCAAAAAACCCAGTTGAAATCTCACCTGACTACTGTGTGAAATCATCAAATTTATTTGCTGTTTTAGCATCTGTCTCCCCCAGTGGGAAGTTTTGTGAGTGCTGGAGCCCCTTCCATCTTATTCTCGGCTTACAAAACCCATGACATAGTGAGTCCTCAATAAATATTCATTTGATCTTCTGTCCGTCAATCACATAACCTTAGAACCTAACCCCAATCCTCTGTTTGTCCCCTGAAAAGTGGGGGGGTGGGCCATTTCCTCTAGCTCAAAGGCTGCTGGGAAAGATCTAGTGAGGGAAGAATGTGAAACTGCTTTAAAAGACACACGACACTGAGAAATGCAGCCTGTGGACCTATTTCCAATCCCCATATCCCCTTCGCCTCTCAATCACTTTGAATATCAAATTCTGCAAATGGTTTGCTATAATCTTCAGCACTAATAGGAGGGAAGGGTGAGAGTCAGGGTGGGAGGAGGAAAGACAGACAGACAAGTGTTCTCCCAGGCTGGGTCCTGGATTTGATTGAGTGACATTGATAAAAGACCTTCCCGGCTTTTTTGACTCAATCCATCGGGGAGATAGCCCTGGAGACAGCCCGGTCCAAACACAAGGGAGGCCTCTGGCCTGCTGGCCCCTGACATTTCACTGGGCCTGGCTCCTGGGCTGCTTGGAAGACAGACAGACAATGAGGGGAAGTCAGATAGCGGGGCAGGCAGGGGCCAGGGGGAAGCCACCCATGGAGTTATCACTTCTTGGGGATCCCGAACTGGAAGGAAACCTTGCTGGCTCCTTATCGCCTTACAATGTGGAGGCTGATGATGAATTGCTATTTGTTGTCTCTGGAGTGGGACAGACAGAGCTTGGCTGGAATGTTCCCTGACACCCTGTGTTCCCTCTGGGGGGCAGAGGGAGGTGAGAAGGGCAGAGGTTTCTGAAAGGCAAAAGGCCTCCTGCAGGGTGCTCACCCCACACACCCTTAGTCCACAAGCCTCAGTGGAACTCTTGGGCAGGTCCCCTTGCTAGCTAGGTGACTTCAGGCAAGTCCCTTAGTGTACCTGGGCTTCAGTTTCTGATCTTATCTCTGGCCAGTTTCTTCCTCCAGTGTCTCCCATACCCGGTGCTCACCCACCACCTCACAGCCTCTCAGCAGATGCCTGGTGTCACTTTTGTCCCCCTCCTGTCACAGCAAACCGACTGTTTCTAGACCAAAAGGCCAAGTCATGGCATTGGCAGGCTGCTTACTCCTCCAGTAGTGACTCACTGTGCTTAAATCACACCTGAAGTCTTAAATTAAAATGGCTCAAAGGCCTGGCTCAGAGCAGGCCCTGCCTTCCCTCCAGCCCTCGCTACCCACCACGTTCCCCCTTGCTCAAGGCTCCAGCATCTGGGCCTTTTGTCCCCTCCCCAGAAAGGGTGGGAGCCCCCCACCCAAGGGCATTGTGCCTGCTTTGCTCAAAAACCCGCTCACCAACTCAGAACTCAGCCTCAATTCTTCCCCCATCTCCCACCTAGTCTGGTGCTCCAATTTGAGGTTCGTTACTACTTTGCATATTTCCTTTAGAGCATCCCACCACAATTTTAATTAAGCAATTGTATAATTGCTTAATTAAAACCCAAGTGATTGGTTTTTAACAGCCTGAACTCCAAGAAGGGCGGGATGGTGGCTAGTGAACGTACCAGGAACTGTTCTGGATGCTTCCTATGGGTTAGTTCATCTGGCCTCATCACTCATCACAGTGCTATCCTCTTGCACAAAGGGTAGGCGAGGCTCAGAGAGGTAAAGCTACTTGCCCAGGGTCACACAGCAGCAAAGCATCAGCCACAGTGATTGATTCTACAAGTCAGCCCCCAACTCTGGCCACCCTAATAGCCACCTCAAGTTGATCTGAAGTTCATCAGAGGGTCCTATGAATTCCCTGAGAACGTCAACCACGTAATCAAAGAGGCTTACTGGTGCTGCATTCGAACCCTTCCCACCTCATCCTTCCAGAATGCATTTGTACCAATGCCGCTATAAATATTGAACCTAAAACGAGCTTTGATTCTTTTTAACTTCTTCCTCCCCCCTTCCCCCCAACTTTTTTTTTTTGTCTGGCATTAATTTAATCGACAGAACTCCCTAATTCAAACCTGGTGAGCTCTACTCAGCACATTTAACCCAATCTCCAGAGCAGAGCGCCATGAAAGATGAAATTTTCAGAGAGTAGCCAACAGCAACAGGGACAGGAGAGAGTTCAAGATTCGGGCTCTAAGTCTGCAGATAAGGCTTGGGTTCAAATTCCACCTTCAAAACCCAGCAGTATCTTTTCAAGCTTCCTGATCCGCAGCTTCCCAGCTGGCAGGTAAGTTAGTGATAGCACCTACTGAATACAATTGTTGAACGACTTGCCAGGGACCCAGCGAGGTCACCCTTCAACCTAATTGTTCAGCAGGAGGTCTGGGCAGGACCTGTGTTTTCTGGGACGTTCTTTCTCTCCTGCCCATGTGCTGAGAGAGGGGGTCATGCTCCCAGGCATCTGGTCCCCAGCCCACCCGGCGGCGGATGTGCTGGGAGTCGGGCTGGGGGCGGGGGGGCTGTTGATATTGTTCAGAGATCCTTCGAGATCCCTGGAGTTTGAAAGTGTTCAGGTCCATCTGGAAGCAAGGCCCCCCAGCCCCAGGCTAGGATGGATGACAGCTCTTCCCTCCGTGAAAAGCCAAGGTGGGTAAACATCAAATAGTTGAACAGTGTTCCTTTCCTCACCGACCCCATTGTCATTGGTGACAATGTCATAGGTGACAGGTCCAGGCACTAGTCCCTTGGATGTCCCTCTTGGATGTCCAAAGGCATCACTCTGTCTACCAAGGCTATGAGGAGAAACATGTCACACCGAAGATTCAGATTTGGGGCTTTTTGAGCAAAATCGACTACAGCTTGTTGAGTCAACCCTGAGCCAACAGATGTCAGACCTGATTCTGTGACACCTTCAAACCAGGCCCAGCAGACAAGTCCTACCAAGAGCACAAACTCACAGACTCGTTTTTGTTTTAAGAGAAGCTTACAGAGGATTCGCCCTGGTTGTCTGATCCTGAAAAGCAAGAGTGGCGAGCTCAAGGCCACCCTGTTCCCTCTGTGTCCCCCTTGGAGCCCTTGCCTTCCTGGAGTAATTAACTGCCTCCTAGTTAGTCAGGGCTACCACCTGCTGGGTGCTGATTGGCTCTCAGGTGTTCTGCGTCCCCATTCACATAAGTGGGAGACTCAGGTTTAGAGAGGTTAAGATACCTGCCTGAAGTCACACAGGAAGCCAGTAGCAGAGCTGATTCCACCCTGGGTGTCTCCGGCCTCACTGCAGGGCCCTCCCTCCACATCTGTTCACAGCTCACACAGAACAAGCGTTCAGATGAGCCAAACTTGACCATGCTGCCAGCATTAGCCACTGTGATTCTGCCTCTCTTAAAGGAGCCACCAGATGTTTCCTTTTATTCATTTATTTTAGTTTAGTTTTATTCTGTGGCTGCAGGCAGGCACTCTACCATGTGAGCCACACCTCCAGCCCTTTTTACTCTAGTTATTTTTCGTGTATGGTGAATGGGACTAGGATCTTCCTACCTATATCGTCCCACACGGCTGGGATTATAGATGCACACTGCCATGCCTGGGTCATTTGTTGAGATGTAATTTCACTGACTTTTCCCCTGGGTGGGCCTCAAACCTCAGTCCTCCTGGGTTCAAGACACGAGCCACTGCACCCAGCCTCATATTTTGCTTTTGAGGGTGTCACGTTAGCTTTGCCTGGGTTGGCCCTAAACTCTCCATCCTCCTGGCTTAGCCTCCTGAGTAGCTGGGATTACACACACCACCATGACTGGCTACAAGTTTCTTCTTTTTTTTTTAAACATAACCCCTATGGACTCAGATGACTTAGAGAAAAGTCATCCATTTCTCCTTTGACAAGGAAAACTATGGAGTACCTCAGAGCCAGCTTTGTAGATGTATAGACAGGATTACAAGGGGAAAAAATTGCCTGTGATGGTGTATGTGTGTGCACGCATGTGTACATGTGTGTGTCCACGTGTGCGTACATGTGATGGGGTGTGTGCATTGTGGGTGTTGTGTGCACACGTGTGTGGTATATGTTGTGTGCACATATGAGTGTGGTGTGTGTTGATTTTGATCTGGAAAGGAAAAGGAGCTCAGAGTCCACGTGGGAGAAAATGGCAAGTGTACCCAAGAGGCGTGTACAATTGCACTAAGGTTCCCTCAGCTGCACTGGGGATACATCCGGGGAACACAGGACGCGCCAGCCCCGCCCACGAGTGGGAGGGGCAAGATGAGCTCTGGTCACCTTTGCACAGAGGAAGCTGACAAAGGACCAGGGCAGGGAGGGGCTCAGCCCCTCAGCATGGGCACCACCGGCCCTGGGTTCCACCCCAGTCACAAAAACGGCGCGCAAACAACCTGAGGTTAAAACAAAAGCAGGTTGCAATGCACTACTGTAAAAACAAACCGCATGGCAGGTGCATGCGTGCTGTGTAAATGAATAAAATGACAGCCCATGAAGTTTTAGCCAAGGACCAAGAGATTCACTGAGGGAACCTTTAGTTTTTTCCCGGTGGGTTTTTTGGGTTTTTTTGGGGTGGTGGTTTTTTTGCAGTACTGGGGTTTGAACTCAGGGCTTTACACTTACTAGTCAGGTGCTCTACCACTTGAACCACCACACACACCGCCCTTTTTGCTCTAGTTATTTCTGTGACAGGGTCTCACATTTTTGCCCAAGCTGACCTGGTGATCCTCCTACTTATACCTGTCTCAGAGCACATACCACCACACCCAGCTTTTTTTGTTGTTGTTTAGATGGGGTCTCACTCACTTTTTGCCCAGGTGGCCTCAAATCCTGATGCTCCAGATTTCTAACTTTCAGTAGCTGGGATTAGAGGGGAAAACCATCATTCCCAATTTAAATTTCTTATCACCTCTGTGCTTTTGTGTTGCTTTCATTTTTTAAATAAATACATAAATGTCACCGTACACTCCCCCTCCCCCAAAGTGGTCAGAGGCTGGCCTACTCACCTTTTCTCTTGGTGCAGTGGTAGATTTGGCTGTGCTCCTGGGGCAGCGGGTATGGATTGGGTAGGGGCAGAAGGTCCTGGGAGGGGCCGGAGACGCCATTCTCACACTGGTACTGGGACCCTAAGTTGGACGAGGTGGACAGAGCTCGGGGCTCGCTGCTGAAGGGGCTGTGGTTGGAGGCCACTTTTTGCCTCACCGTGCTCCTGGGAACCACAGGATATTCTTTACTGAAAGAGAGAAGACAGGAAGTCATGTTTATCTGTGCCCTGCTACAGACACCCCCCTCTACCCCAGCTGAACCACGTAATAAAGAATCCACCAAAAAAAGTCACTGAGTAAGCAAAGTGACCCAGTTACAATCATAGGCACTGTATACATATGTATTTTTTTTCATGTCTTGTTAGGTCTATACATATCCAGATGGGTAAATGAGCACGCCAGTTAAGAACCCCTCTGGAGAGTTTGCTATAGTGATGCATGCCTGTAATCCCAGAATTCAGAGGCTGGGAGAGGCAGGAGATGTTCGAGGTCAGCCTGGGTCACATAGTGAGACCCTGTCTCAAAACAAACAAACTAAGAAATTAAAAACCAAGGGCTGGAGATGTAGCTCAGTGGCTAACGTCCCCAGCACTGCACACATGACCACGGAGAAGGACCCTCTTGGCCATCAGTGGCATTTGGAAGTATTTCAACCCAATCTATGTGTCTTCAAATTCCCTAATTCAAAAGCTAGATGCACTTAGCACCAACCTCTAAGTGTCCATCTTTATAACAGAGGTGAGTCATTGCCCATAAACAGCACCCCTGATGGCCTGAGGTGGTCTCAAGTCACCAACTCTAACCCAGATTGATTTCTGCTCATGTCTGAGAATTTCCTTTTGAGCCTCTGCCTTGTCACCGCTGTCCCTAACTTCCGCATGGCTTGGTTTCCCATCTGTGAAATAAGGACAACAAATACCCCCAGTTCCCAGGGCTGTGGAGAGAAGACTTAGAAAAGTACCCAGTGACTGTCACCATCGTGCTTTAGGGACAGAGAATCCAGGGAGAGAGAGAAGGGAGGGAAAGAGAGGAAGGGACAGAAGGACACAGCAGGCAGAAAACAGCATGAGACCTAAAACGAGGCAGAGCCAAGGCTCATGTCCTCATCCTGTCTAAGGTAAAACAGGTCCTGTGTGGCGCTGGCACCATTGTGGGGGCAGAGGATATGAGGAAAGGGTGTAGGAGGTGAATATGGTGGAATATTATGCACTCATGTGTGCAAATGGAACAATGAGACCTGCTGAAACTATTCCAGGAATGGGGAGGGAGAGTAAAGAACAATCATGGAGGGGTGAATTCAACTATGACATATTGTAAGAACTTTGGTAAATGTCACATTGTACCCCCAGTACAACAATAATATGATAATCAGAAGATATTCACGTCCTGTATCACCTACTGACTTTCTTTTTTTCTGTGTTTTGGCCACAATGGGACCTGAACTCAGGGCCTTGAGCTTGCTAGGCAGGCACTCTACCACTTGAGCCTCTCCGCCAGCTCCCAACTGGACTGGAGCCCTTCTGAGTCATAACCACGCTGAGCCTCACTGCCCACACAGCCACCTGTGCATGATGACAATCTGGTGGCAGCCTGTCACCCCCCAAAATGCTCAACGATGGCCCCAGGCATTGTCATGGTGGTCTCTGCAGTGCCTCATCTCCAGCTTCTGACTAGGCGTTCCCACTGTTGGCCTCATAAACCTTACTAAAAACCTCTTCCAGAAGGGATGCTGAGTGGCACCAGGGACCCCAAAGGGAGCCAGATGGGTGGGGGCTGCAGAGGAGAAAGGAGGAAGGGACAGCTTAAAGACAAAAGAGGCCAAGGAACCTTCTGACTCGTCTACTTATTCTGAAATATATTATATTGGACCCTATAAATTTGTATCAGTATTATGTGTCAATTAAAAGCAAAAAACTAATTTAAAAAAAAAAAAGACACCAGTGGCTCGTGCCTGTAATCCTAACTCTGCACAAGGCAGAGATCAGGAGGATCGAGATTCAAAGCCAACCTGGGCAAATAGTTCTTGAAAAAGCCCATCCCAAAAACAGGACTGGTGCAGTGGCTGAAGGTATAGGCCCTGAGTTCAAACCCAGTACTGCACAAAAAGAAAAAAAACAAAAAAACAAAAAAACCCTGCTCCAGAAGGAATGTGTACCAGGAAACCCCTTCTTACATTTTTTTCAAATAGTTTTTTATTCAAATAAGTTTAGCCACCATATAAGCACAGATACCTGTGGACCTGTGGGCAGTGGCACTAACTTGGTTCTTCTACTGCATTACAAAGAAGTGCTTACTGTTAAAAGTAACACCACACCTGACAAAGAGCTCCTGCTGGAACATTATGAAGGGCACCGGAGGGCCCCTTGCATCCTCTCTGGGACCCTATGAAGTTCCTATTGTTTTTTTTCCCATTTTACAGATTGGGAAAGTGAGACCCAAAGACAGGAGACAATTTGTCCATGGTCCCAAGGCTTGTAAAAGACACACAGAAAATTCTAGCCCCCTGTTTCCTAATGACTCCTGTACAGTGTCCTCATTCTGTCATGTTTTTTCAATACTGAGGGGTGAACTCAGGGCGTCGTGTATGCTAGGCAAGCCCTCTACCACTTCAGCCATGCCTCCAGTTCTTTTATATTTACTTTGGGTCTTGCTAATTTGACCCATGCTGGCCTCGAATTTGTGATCTTCCTTCCTGCCTCTGCTCCTGAGTAGCTGGGATTATAGACCAGGATTACACCACCATACCCAGTGGTGCTTTTTGCAATTTTTTAAAGCAAAGGTTGAGGTTCAAGACTCCCTTCTCGACAGGAGGGTAAAACAGGTCTTTGTCGAGGGTGGGCACCAGTGGGAGGGGAGGTGGACACAAGGAAAGGGGGAATGAGGGTGAATATGGTGGAAGTCTTTTATATTCATATACGAGAACAGAAGAATGAAAGCTGTTGAAATTGTTCTAACTAGGAGGTAAGGGGGAAGAGGGAGAAAGATGGAGGGGGTAAATCGAAGCTATATTGTAAGCACAGATATAAATACCACAAGGTATCCCCCTGTACAATGACTATATGCTAAGAAGAAGGGAAAAAAGACTCCCTCTCCTGCCCTGCAGGGGTGTGACCACCCCCACTCTGTGCTCTGCCTTTGTTTGCCATATATAAGCATGTCAGAGTGGCCAGACAGGGGACATACAGTGTCTGCCAGGTTTCCATGAGATTTCAGACATGCTCACGACACCCAGGGGTCCCCTAGCTAGGCGTCCACAGGTCATATGCCATCCCAGACCCATGCTGGAGCCATCCTGAGCCTCCCCCTGGGGCCAGAAGGCTGAAAGGAATGGAATTGGCTTTATAGCTCTGGCTTTGCGGTTCAAGCTACGTAATGGAAAAAAAAAAAAAGAAGAAGAAGAAGAAGAAAAAAAATTAAAATCATAATAAAACACTAGAAAAATTGTCAAATCTCACTGGTAATTCTGTTTGGGTCCACTGAGGTCAAGAACTGGGCTGTCAGAACTCCAAGAGGAAGAGAGAAATCTCTTTGGGTTTTATGTTTTTAATGGGGATGGTTATTTTTTTTTAATTAAAGAAAATAACCCCCAAAAAATGTTGGCTGAGGGAATTTACAAGAGAATGTATGAATGGGTTCCGTGGAATTCTCCAAGCAGCCATGGCCAAATTGCAAAATTACTCATTGGAAAAGGCCAAGCCCTGCTTTTGATTATAAACAGTCATGGAAGTAGAAAGCGATTTTATCCCAGTAACCACCAGTCCCTGGCAGCCAGGGAGCTCCAAACACCGTCCCTGCCATCTTCTACCCAGAACAGCCTTCCTATCCTCAGTACCATGCACCAAGCCATCTGACAGGTGTCAAAATGCACATATGGAAGGTGTGCAGGCGCATCACGAGAATGGGACGGCCGTGGGGTGACTGTCACTGGCTCACCAATGAACCTGTCAGACCAATCAGAGGGATGGCATCACTGTCACTATGGTAGAATGTCCTATAACGACTCAGAGTATCAATAAAGAAGCCAGAGCAAGCTGGGCGCTGGTGGCTCCCGCCTGTAATCCTAGCTACTCAGGAGGCAGAGATCAGGAGGATCACGGTTCAAAGCCAGTCCTGGCAAATAGTTTGCAAGAATCTTGAAAAAAATCCATCACAAAAAATAGGCTGGTGGAGTGGCTCAAGGTATAGGCCCTGAGTTCAAACCCCAAGACTGAACTCTGTGTGTCTGGGAATGCCAACAATCAAAGAAGCTAGTTCTCATTGTCAGTCATTATGGCCGTCCTCCTCCTCCTCCTTCTCTGTTTTGTTCCTGAAGTGCTTCTTCATGTCACAGCCACTGTACTCACTGACCTTCCTCCTTCCATCCGCAAAGAACCTCCCTCCAGGCGTGTGCTCAGACTTACTACAGAGATAAGGAAGGTTCAAAATCAGAGAGGTTAAGCAACTTACTGTAGATCACTCAGCTAACCAAGGGAAAGGTAAAGCTAGACTTCATCAGGGTCAGTCCTATTCCAAAGCCCTTAACTAGCTGATCCTGGATACCAAAGAGGCATTGCCTGCCCCCCGGCTGTTTGGCAAACAGAACCATCCTGTTATATAAAGACTGGGGGCGATAAGAGGGTTGGAGGCTGGCTACACCCAGTCAACGTCAAGATCCATCCTGCTGCTTTGTGCACCCTCAGTGTTCCAAGTGCCAAATCCCACTGCTCTCTGCTGTACCAGTCAGCCACACCCGCATCCCATGCACACGCACTGGGTAGAATCTCCAGGTGGTTGGTAGCTGGAGTCCAGGGTCCCTGGGTACCAGACTCTGCAGAGCAGCCTCTCCCTGGCTCGGGTCCCCTCACATTCTGTTCCACGTGAGTGAGTACAGTGAATGACGCCATTGTCGCCAGGTCTGGGTTGTAAAATGTTACAAGGGAATAGTGAAAGCCATGCCAAACTGCATCCTCAGCTTGTGAGCGGCTAACGACCCTCTCCCACCCCCACCGCCCAGAGAACGTTTTTTCCACTGCAGCCGACTGAATTGCTCTTTCAGGGAGCAGGTGGCAGAGGGGCTGGTGTGTTGGGGGCGGTTTTTGTTTTGTTTTGTTTTCTCTGGGTAATGCTTACCCAATTTCTGGCAACAATTTTCAAACGACCAAAGCAGTGCCCTGGGGTGAGCATAAGGACTGTAAAATTGCTCTTCTTA